TGGGATTTAGAATGGGGGTGGAGGAGAAGGAAGAAGAGACGGCATTGGGGTGGAAGAGAAGTCACCCCATGGCACCATTTCACCCATAAAATTTTAGTTCTCTTGGTGTATTTCAAGATTATTTTCTTTAAATCAACACTGTACTGCATTATATATTGTCAATATGTAAAATATATGCCCTCAGGCCCGTATATATGCAGGCGCGCGAGGGGAAATCACTCCTTCTGTGATTTCTTCTCCACGTCTCCAGGTATGTTCACTTGTGTTCCATGCCGCGATATTAACTCAATTTAACTTAGTCATTTTTTGTGAATATCAGTGTTCATGTTTTAACATAGTACCTTCAGTGCCAAGTGAGTCAAGTAAAGTAGAGGGCTAGCTATCGTCTGAACCGGTGCCAGACGTATGTTTTGTATAGTGAAGTTAAATATTCACTCCTTCTGTGATTTCTTCTCCACGTCTCCAGACGCTGTTGTGGGGGTTAGCAACACTCCTGAGGTTTGGGAGCCGCCTATGGGCACGATGTCTCTCGAAAGACGTCTTTAAGGTGGCGAGATTAGAATCCCAGGGCGAGATTCCTTGGCAGACGCCACGGCCCACCGCCACAGTCAACTTTTCCCGGGCCAGGCGCTCCGAACTAGCGAGCGAGCCTGTAAACAACTCTGGCCCACTGACTCCAGCTAGTCTTATATGTTCTTTATCTCTATATACCTTATATTCTTATATAAGTAACTCGTATGCTTCTCTGCTTATGTTTTCCAAGTCAATGTTCTTTCTTTTCATTTCCTTTCCTATATATATATTCTCAGTTTCAATGTTCTTACCTTTCTGGAGTTTACTTTGTTATATGTCTATTCTTATACATGGGTTAGTCTGGGGAACCATGTTATTCTTTGTACAACACTTTTTATACTTACAAAGGGTAGCTGCCACCACCCAGACTTTTCATTATATAACCTAACTCATGGAAAGTTGTTGGGTAGTGTGGGAGATGTCTAGGCACGTGAGTAAGTATTATTTTCTGGGAACCAATGTTTAGAAGGAGCAGAGTGGTGATACTCAGATTACTAATTCAATATTTATTAACACAGTGAGTGGAGAAGATGCATCTTAGATTCACTCAGGCTAAACAGAACCGCAATTAACTTATTAAATCATCAAACACTTCAAGAGCTTATTACCTCATTCAACACCTCCAAATACTCATTACTTTATTAGACAATTGGGATATCATTACCTTGATACATGAGATTCCGTAACTATTATTCACAAGCCATCACTGGACCCTCAGGTCTTACTTTAACAAGTAACACATTACCTCTTCACTTCTTGATTAGAGCATGATACTCTCAGGTTATTCGTTCATGGGTACTACAGATGAATACATAACACATTGGACTAACTCCACAATTATAGTAACATACAATACCTTCTGTTAGTTTGCAAGGAACAACCTGGTACCTTGAACTCTCATTCAGGGGTTCAATACTTAACCCGGGATACTATATTTCTGCTAGTTATCCCTCCAAACATGGGCTGACACTGCTACATGCAATGGATGAAGTACAATCTCCAGGTGGAGTCAGCGGGCACAGTTGTTTACAGCGACCGCCAAGCTGAAGGCTCGCTCGCTAGGTGCACTCAGGGAGGTTGACTCGTTACACACTGGCAGAGTGAGAGGGCGCTTCCCGGGGGAACCGTGTCCTGGGATTCTAAATGCGCCCTTAGAGACAGTCTTCAAGAACCATCTTGCCCATAGGTAGCTATCGACCCTCAGGAGAGTTGCTAACACATCCGCATCTGGAGACGTGGAGAAGAAATCACAGAAGGAGTGAATATTTAACTTCACTATACAAAACATACGTCTGGCACCGGTTCAGACGATAGCTAGACCTCTACTTTACTTGACTCACTTGGCACTGAAGGTACTATGTTAAAACATGAACACTGATATTCACAAAAAATGACTAAGTTAAACTGAGTTAATATGGCGGCGTGGAACACACGTGAACATACCTGGAGACGTGGAGAAGAAATCACAGAAGGAGTGATTTCCCCTCGCGCGCCTGCATATATACGGGCCTGAGGGCATATTCCTACTAGAAAGATAAATTTCACTAACAATTAGCCCAACCGGGCACAGGTCACTGACCCACATCAGGGCCTGGGGGGCAAAAATATCAATATAAAAATAATAATGCTAATAATAAATACAAATTAATAAAAATTATAATGAATAAAATAATAGAGTACAGTAGTAATAATAATAAAAATAACCATATATAATAAAAAAATAAAAAATAAATCAAGAGTGAGAAACGACATACATTATATGTATGTTGTATTGTCAACAGTAAAAAACAATTGAGACCCTGCAATTGTGTGTAAATGAGGCAGAAAGACTGATCAGCAACCTGGGACTTGATCACAATTTTTGTGGTCCCATATGACAGCAGGGTCTACCATTTGACAACACATTATGCTTCCAATATCACTTATTACTGTACATAAAAACAACTCGCCAAAATAAAATGTGAAGACTGTGAACTTACTAAAATAAGGTAAGAATAAATGTAAAAGATGATTCTACCTAGTTTCACCTTGATTCTACCTAGTTTCACCTTGATTCTACCTAGTTTCACCATGTTTTTATGTGCTTACACTCATTCAACTTTATTCTGCCAAAGTGTTTTTTTTTCAGTAACAACCATTTTTATAAGAAAATTTTTCTTGATAGACATTCATCCCTCAACATCCACAAATCCTGATACAGGTACACCACACTACAACTTGCATTCCTCACCACAGGAAACAGCATCACCACTGATCTTACATTATGTTTGTTCCAGTGTTGTCATTCTGATAATAATTTAATCAAATAGAATAACCAGAAAATCCCCAGTCCTATATTACAGTATTCTGGATGTTCAGGTGTCAGGCTATTTGATGTACATACTGTAATACAGTCTTGTATTTTGAAACTGCTTCTTGTTATCATATTCATAAAATTTTCTTCTCTTTAGTAAAAAATTCATACTTATGGTACTGTATATATTCTTGGGAGTAATAAAGACCTTACATATTTTCTCCTATTTTGCAAAGTTAGTTTTCCTTTCCCTAACCCCATCACTGCTGGGATGTCACTTTTATTTTTTTTATTTGGCTAACACAAGATGATTTTATTCAGCTCAGAGGGGTTAAACAGAGATTATCATCTTGCTGCCCATACTGGAAACTGAAATGGGATGGTAGTGGTAACACATTTTCATGCTTTTGAATTCTTGTTTTTATATTACAGTACAGTTGTACCCCACTTAACGCGGTCAATTGAACCCAGAGGGTCCCGCGTTAAGTGAAATCCGCGTTAAGTGAACAACAGAACATATGGGATTAATTCCAATAGAAACCGGCCCGACCCCCAAACTCCACTTTTTGAAGGCACATACCTATGTTGTAGTAAAAATAACATCTTAATTTTATGATGGTACATGCACACAATTAATACTTAAGAGAAATAGAGAAATACAGTCGCCAAGTTAATGTCCATTCAAATAATGGACTCAACTCCCTCCCACTCTCACACTACACTGCCGGCTCTTCCCTCTCAGAGAAATTTTTGGGGGAAAACCACTAAATTTTAATAAATAATACCTCAAACTAAAGTTAGGATAATACAATTGACATTGCTGGATTCCTTGTAAGACCAGGAATATTTTGAATATAAATGTCATATATTTTGCACAAAAGATAACATAGTTACCTAGAGAAAAATTTTTATCTAAAAATTGTATGTTTAATGCAAAATATATGATGTTTATATTCAAAATGATCACCAAATTATAAGAATTCCAGCAATGTAAATTATATTCTGACCGGGTAATTTGTATGAATTTTATGAGCTAAAACAAATATCTTCAGTTAATAAAAAAAAAATAATCTTCACGACACTATCTGTCAATCAAAGTACCCCACCTTGCCTCCCCCCCTCTTCCAACCGTGCGGTCAGTCCCAACCCTCCCCCCCACCCCCCACCAATCCTCCCTTCCAGAGTTTTTAACATTTAGTATTAAATAATACCTCAGATTAAAGTTAGGATAATATAATTGACATTGCTGGATTCCTTGTAAGACCAGGAATATTTTGAATATAAATGTCATATATTTTGCACAAAAGATAACATAGTTACCTAGAGAAAAATTTTTATCTAAAAATTGTATGTTTAATGCAAAATATATGATGTTTATATTCAAAATGATCACCAAATTATAAGAATTCCAGCAATGTAAATTATATTCTGACCGGGTAATTTGTATGAATTTTATGAGCTAAAACAAATATCTTCAGTTAATAAAAAAAAAAATAATTCTTCACGGGGTAACAGATGGTCGGTCGGTCCCTCCCTCCCCCCCACCCCCCACCAACCGTCCCAAGGAGATGTGTGGGATAACCACTAAATTTTAATAAATAATACCTCAAACTAAAGTTAGGATAATATAATTGACATTGCTGGATTCCTTGTAAGACCAGGAATATTTTGAATATAAATGTCATATATTTTGCACAAAAGATAACATAGTTACCTAGAGAAAATTTTTTATCTAAAAATTGTATGTTTAATACAAAATATATGATGTTTATATTCAAAATGATCACCAAATTATAAGAATTCCAGCAATGTAAATTATATTCTGGCCGGGTAATTTGTATGAATTTTATGAGCTAAAACAGGCAGTCAGGCAGGGTGGCGGGTGGGGCAAATCTAAAAATAGCGTCTCGAGCCGGACACTCACCGCGTATATGTGGAAAAAATCCGTGTTAAGTGAAAGTTCAGCTCTGGCGAGGCACCGCGTATATGATAAAACGCGTTAAGTGAAACCGCGTTAGGCGGGGTAATACTGTACATTAAGCTTTTTATTGTGGGTGATGAGTAAAAATTGATTAAGATACCTTATCTCCTCTCTGCCAAATACAAATATAATGCTTGCTTAATATATTTACAGATTTCTAAGGTAAAGAGGGAAGCATATGAGGACCTAGCAATGAATATTTTCATGAAGTATAGTCCAAAGGATTCTCGTAGCAACCGAGCAGAGTGTACAAGTTGTGAAACAATGATCCCTGATTGGTAAGTCTTTCATGTACAATGTTTATATTTCATTTATCATAAACTAGATATTATATGTATCCAGGGTTGTAAAGTAAATAAATAAATTTACTTGAGTACTGTACTTGTGTAACATTTTTAGGTATTTACTTTTTAAAAAGTAATCAATATTTTTTAGTAATTTTACTTAAGTATGGTTCTCTAATACTTTTACTCCACTACAATTGAAAAACAAAAATCGATACTTGTTACATGCAAACTAATATTATATTTTTTAATTAATTAATTATTAACCATAGTAAAAGACTTATGTGGGTGGAGGGTACGGTGTGGGTGGAGCCATGAAGGGTATGGTATGGGTGTGGGGAGACACCATGCGGTCACATACCAAGAGGTCTCATGAGATGAGGTCATGAGAACATAAGAATGGAGGAAACTGCAGCGGGCCTATTGGCCCATACTGGGCAGTCCCATTTATACCCAACCCCTATTGCTCATATATCCATCCAACCTATGTTTGAAGCTATCCAGCATACTCGAGTTAATGATGATATTTGGTAACTTGTTCCACTCATCCACTACAATACTTTATTTCCAAACCAATGTTTACCTATTTCAGGCCTAACTCTAAATTTTTCTAATTTACAACCATTTTCGAGTTCGCTCCTGGTTGGATAGTTTGAGTAACTTTGTAATGTTACCTTTGTTTAGCCCTGACTTCCATTTATACACCTCGATCATTTCGTCCCTCAATCTACGTCTCTCGAGGGAGTGCAAATTAAGATGCTTTAACCTGTCTATGTACTCAAGGTTCCCAATGCCTGGGATTAGTCTTGTCATTCTCCTCTGAATTCTTTCTTGGGATTCAATATCCATTCTGTAGTTCAGTCACAAGAATTGAACTGTGTAATCCAAGTGAGGTCTCACAAGCACAAGATAAAGTTTTGGGATGACCTCGCTAGTCTTGTAACTAACACTCCTTTGTATGAACCCAAGTACTTTGTTAGCCTTGTTTCGAGCAGCTATATATATTGTTTACTTGGTTTAAGATTCCTACTTATCATTACTCCTAAATCTTTTTCACAATCAGGTTTCTCTAAAACATCTTTGCTCATCTGGTATCTGGTTTCTCTGTTTACATCTCCTAGACTAAGTACTTTACGTTTGTCCACATTGAATTTCATCTGCCATTTTACAGACCATTCAAAAATTTTTTTTAGATCTTCCTGTAGTTTTGCGGAGTCCTTGTCAGATTTAATTAATCTCCCTATTTTAGTGTCATCAGCAAATTTACTTATGTTGCTGTCTACGCCGATATCTCTGTCGTTTATATATATATATATATATAATCAACGACCTCACCAGCAAGGAATCGAACCCTCGACTTACTGGGTGGGGCTAGGGAACGCTTACCGGCTAGGCCACAAGGACACTAAAAGCAGTTCTAGACTCTGTTATATTTCACACAAAGCCTATTCATCGAGCTGATGGCGCCGTGAACCTCATTGGGAAACTGCCCGTGCCTCTTATGTGGTGTCAGTAGCATTTTACTGAATCCAGCTGGTATGAAACGCGAAGAGAGCATTCTTTTAAATAGATATATTGAATTATCACATAGTGATCGAACTGATCACTGCGAACCTGGGACGGGCAGCCAATGAGGTTCACGGCGCCATCAGCTCGATGAACAGGCTTTGTGTGAAATAACAGAGTCTAGAACTGCTTTTAAGGTCCTTGTGGCTCAGCCGAAGCTGCCTTAGTCCCACCCAGCAGGTCGAGGGTTCATTCTTGCTGGTGAGGTCGCTGATTATGTTCAAAGTCCACGTGTTATATGGACTAAAATGAAGTGTATATATATATATATATATAGTTGTTATACCCTCAATTTAACGCGTCAATTGAACCGAGGGTCCTATGAAACTGCTATGAATAACAGAACATATGGGATTAATTCCATAGAACCCAGCCCGAACCCCAAACTCCACTTTTTGACGACAATAACTATGTAGTAAAAATATATAGAGGGATTAGGTTAGGAAAGATAAAAAAAAAAAGATTTAACATGGGAAAAATAAAGAATAGGTTAAAAACGAAAAGTTTTAAAGAACACTCTAGAGTGTAGTAGAAGAGATGGAGTGGGCATAAAGGGATGAGCTGGTTCCGAGGGCAGAGGGCAGATTACTGCCCCTCAGGTGAATCACCATTACTAGGTGAATCACCATTACTAGGTGAATCAATATCACTGTCACTTACAGTTGTCATAGCTACAACCAAATCCTCAAAATCAACTTCACTATCACTATCACTGGCTTGGCTGGCTGTGGTGGGTTGAGCCCGAAGAACTAGGTTATGCTTTGCTGACAGCTGGCTGATGTTTTTCATGATACACCGTGATGTCTGGCTCCATAGCCTGCACCAGTCGGTATGGAAGAGCGTCATGGCGTTCATGCATTGAGTGTCATGAAGCGATGGACTTAATTTTTCTGCATGCTCCATATTGCATAATATCCTCATGGCCTTAGAAGCTAGGTTTCTTGAGAATGGCCTTTGTCTTCCTCCTCTTCACTGGTGAGTTCTTCTTCCCAACATCTAAATGGCGTTACTTGAGATCTCTGATCACCTCCATGATATCTTCGTTGGTGGTCTCGGCAGCAAGCTGTAACAGTCTCGCGGCTTCTCTGTAGGGTCCTGCTACTGCAACAGTCTAGACCTGACCAGTCACAGGTTCCTCCTCTCACCTGGTATGCCATACCTTTATGTCTCCGCTCGTGTGAATCGTGCGCAAATAGACAGCAGATCCCATACCTCCACCAAAGAAGTCGGCTTGTTTGGCGTTTAACTTCTTTAAAATTGTTGAGAACTTCTTAGTCGCCGCCTCTTGTTCCGCTTGTCCTCGTCGGCTTTTACTCTCGCTGTCGGTGTCACCCAGCTTACATAGCTCATCCTTGGTGTTGGTAGAGTAGTTCAGGAGCTTGAATTTCTTTGCAGGGTAATACAGCTTTAACATTGCAGATTAACTCTGGTCCATGGGCTGGATTAATGGCCAGTGTTAGGAGGAAGGAAGACCACTTTTAAATTTCGGGGTGACGATCCATAAGTAGAAGCTGAGTGTCCAGGTGCGTTGTCAGGAGCAACAAAATATTGAAAGGAACATTCCACCTATTTTCGCCAGAATTTCTGCGTCAGGAACAAAAAGTTGTCAAACCAAGAAGAGGGACAGAAAGAGGACATCCGCCTTCGTCACGGTTAATGATGGACATTAAACTGTTCTGTGTCCATATTCTTTGTAAGTGATCTTGACTTTGCGGGCTTGTGAATCACACCGATAACTGGTTTACAGGTACGGGCATTGGTGGTAAACAGGGCGGTGATCACGTTCATGCCATCTTCCGGCCCTTCTGCTTTCTTCAGCAGACTGGACAACGAAGATCTTGGAAGGTAACTTTTTTCCAGAAAAGACCAGATTCGTCCATATTAAACACAATTAGATCAAATTAGCCTGTCCTTCCTCCATAATCTCCGTAAGCGGAGGAAAATCTCTAACGCGGCCTGGCATCGCTTTAAGCTTCCTCTTTAACAATGCTGATGTTGGTGACCTTGTCCCTCACCAAACCTGTACAGCCAACCATAGGAAGCATTATTGAAGGGTTTTGGGCTGCAATTCCCAGTTCGTGTCACTGCTGCGTATAGCTCCGCGTGCGTACTCCTGCACTGGGCGTGTCCACCGCCATGTTGCGTCGCAGCGCAAATAACTCACCAGCAAAGTTTCCACTTTTGCCTTCCTGTTCTGGCAATACCTGATAGATGAAGCACCTGCAGACTTTGCTTGATCTTCATGGCACTCCGCTTTCTGTGCATCAGCCTTCTTTATTATGCGAATCGTGGATTCGTTGGCTCCATCTTTAGCGCGAGATCAACTTAAGCGTCTTCCTTTCTCCAAATCTTGAACAATTTGGTACTTCAGCTCGTAGCAATGAGCGTCGTGTCTTCTTTGGTTTAAGTGCCGCTGGGTCAGGTAAGGAAAGAAGTTTCTCCTCTGGGGTGGTGGTCGGCCCGGAAGCATTTGCGGAACAATGGATCTTGGCGTTAACCGGTGATGGCCTTGAGGATGAAACTGCAGCAGCTAGGTCAAGCGTCGTCTCTCCTCCCTCCTCCCTCCCCTCCCTCCCTCCTCCCTCCTCCCGGGGTGATCACGTCCATAATACTTTAAGCCAATTACAGCTAGCAGCAAGGGGTAGGAGCTGCGCAGCCCAATCACAGTCCGAGGCGTCATATGACGTCAGTGATAACGCAACAAAGACACACTCGTAACCTTACATGCCCGCTTACTAAGCGGAGGGAGGAGAGGAGAGGCAGGCGGGCGGGTGGAGTGGTAGCGTGGTCAAAATCTAAAAAATAGCATCGAGCCGGACACTCACAGCGTTGCTGTGGAAAATCCGGCGTTAGTGAAAGTTCCAGCTTGGCAAGGCACAGCGTATATGCAGCAGCGTTAAGTGAAAAGCGCGTTAAGCGGTATGCAATATATATATATATATATATATACACAGTATTACCCCTAACGCATTAACGCTTATTTAAACCCCACTTACGACGAAGTTAGGGACCCAAATCCAGGTCGTAAGTCCGATATGGTCGTAAGTCCGATAGATAAAAAAAAAATTTTTTTAATAAAAATCTACTATGAAATACAGTACAGTAAAAGTAATGAATAATGATGAATGGATACAGTACAGTGAAAGTAATAAATAATAAGGAATGGATACAGTGTGACTGAGCACTTAACCTTTAATGTAGTCAGCTGAATGCACATGGGGCCCCTATAATTTTCTAATTATACAGGAGACTACATTAACTGAAACGTTTCGGTATAGAAATGTAAATATTTAAAAAAAAAATTTTATCTCTATCTGAGGCGGTCGTAAGTCCCGACGGTCGTAAGTCCAACGAGTGTAAGTCGGGGTCTAGGTGTATATATATATATATATATATATATATATATATATATATATATATATATATAT